CAGTCCCCAGAGGTTCAGGGCCTGAGAAATGTGGCATCCTTGGCCTCAGCATTTACCCATCTTATCAGGCTCCTTGAAAAATCACTCGGGTGGTCCTGAGGCCCCAAGTTATACTTGAAAGCCCCAACAATACCAAAAATTAAGCCCCCCCCAAAAAACTCAAAACACCCCCCACACATTGCTATTAGTTTCGTGAGCTATTTGTAAAGCATTTTTTACTTCAAGAAGACTCTAGAAAAAGATGAACTATAATTTTAAGATTTTACTTCCTTATCTGAAAGCACATTTGCAGTGCAAAGAGAAAATTTTTATAAACAGAAACATGTTGATTTCATCCATAGATGGTTTTGAACTTTCTGTAATTATGAATTAGAATTTCAGTATGATTTAAAAACTAATATGGTAATAAACCCCAAACTTATCATTTCTAATTTGTCTGTAAACATTCTACTTTTTGGACTCATTACAAGACCAGATGGCATTCAGCTCAGGCCTCAGAAACATTTGAATAAAATTAGCTAATTAACCTTACAATTTTTTGGTTACTAATGCTTTCCCTGAGTTGATTTTGTTCTGACACACAAAATTCTCCACTTTGAATCCAAAGCTAGAGCCCTCTCAAATAAATGAGAGCTAATAAAATAAAAACAAATATTCAGATGTACTAATTTGGTAGAACGGAGTTGATTATTTCTATTGTAGCTGAGGTCACATGGCTACATTAGTCTTTGTGCTTTTGATGTTCAAAGTTACTGTGACAGGTCTGGAGCGCTTGAACAGCAAAGTAGGCACTTGCCTTGCACTCGGCCTGGATTCAATTTCTAGCACTGATGTGGGTCCCTGATTCCCACTAGGAGTAATCCCTGACCACACTGACAAGAATAAACCCTAAACACTGCTAGGTGTGGCCCAGAATACCCCCCACACACATACCCTCAACTACCATACAAATCAAAAAATGATTATTAAAATTACACAACCCCTGAGTACAGAGCCAGGAGTAAGCTCTGAGCACACTGGGGTGTGGTCCAAAAATTTAAAAAGAAATTACATTTATAAAGGAGGAACAAGGGTCAGAGTAATAGTACAGCAGGTAAGACAGAACTGCCTTACATGCGGTCAACCAGGGTTCAATCCCCAGCATCCCATATGGCTCCCAAGCCCACCAAGAGTAATTCCTGAGTGCAGAGCCAGGAGTAACCCCTGAGCAACATGGGGTATGGCCTATCCCCCTCCCCACACAAAAAAAGAAAAAATAATAAATTGAAAGAAAAACAAAACTCTACCACCACCAAAGTGCCTAAGACTCCAACCACAGCCCTTATGTCATTTGAGTCTGCCTCTTCCTCTCCCTTCGCCACTTGGTAACCTCATGTCCATAGTCCAAAGGTTTGTTATCATTAGATACTGTCCATTTACTTTGCTTTCTCCTGTATATACCATGTAAGAGTGAGATCATCTGGTTTTTTGTTCTCCTGACTTCCTTCACTTAATAATAAAGCTTACTTTAATACCAAGCTGTGCCAATATAACCAAACTTTTGATACACGGTTTTTAAAAACCCAGAAGCTCAATATATAATATTGCTACAAACACATTAAACAAATACACATCCAAATAGTCAAACAATATTGAAAAAAAAAAAACAACCAAAGTTGAGCATCTTACACTTCCTTGTTTCAAAACTTACATCAAAGCTACAGTAATTGGAGCAGTGTGGTACCCACATAAGATGGATATATACTGATTTTCAAACTCAATAAGTTGTATATTTAAATAGGTAGCTTTTTAATACATCAATAACATCTCAATAAAGTAATTAAAAATAAAAATAGAGGTATAGTAGATGAATCAATAAAGAGTCCTGAAATAAGTCCTCATATACTGATTTTCAACAAAGGTGGAAAAACCATTTATTAAGGAAAGAACAATTTTTTCAACAAAAAATTGGAAAGGGGCCAAGTTTATTCTTCAACAAATATACACGCAGAAGAATAAACTTCAACACTTATCTTATATGCAAAACTTAATTCCTAACATAACAAAGACCTAATTTTAAAACTCCTAAAACTTTTACTGGGAAGAAAAATATTAGAAAAAAATAGGAAAAAAATTAGATTCAGCAATGACTTTTTAGGTATGACACCAAAAAACACAGGGAAAAAGCAGGTAAGTTGAACTTCCATGCATCAAAGGATACTATGAACTGAATAACAGACACACTCACAGAATGGGGAAAAGTATCTGCAAGTGCACTAACCACAGTACTATCTCTCCAGTCCCGTATTTATTGACTTTTGGGGAGAAGGGTTCTGGGCTCACTCCTGGCTTAGAGTTCAAGGATCACTCCTAACAGACCCTGGGGATCATATGGGTGTTGGGGATCAAACTAGGGTCAGTTGCAAGCAAGGCAGTAACCCTACCCACTATACTAGAGTTCCAAAGGAAGAGAAGAAAGAAGGAGGAAAGAGGAAGGGGGGGGGGGGGAGGAGGAGGAGGAGGAGGAGGAGGAGGAGGAGAAGGGGGAGGAGGAGATGAAAAGGATTATTCAGATGGAGGATGCAAGTTATACAACAATGTGAATGTACTCAATGTATACTTTAAGATGGTTTGAGAGGGTAACAGTTATATTTTGACCACAACTAAATTTTTTTTAAAAGTTTAAATGATAAATTTATCTTATGTGTGCTTTATCACAATGGGGGGTGGGGTTAAAGGGATTGTTTTGGGGGTCATACCCAGCAGTATTTAGGAACCACTCCTGGCTCTGTGCTCTGGGTCACTCCTGGTGATAATCATGGGACCATACTTGGTGTCAGAAATTGAAATGTGGCTGACCACATACCATGCAAGCACCTAAATCCTTACTATCCATCCGTCCACAGTTTTTTTAAAAGGGCATTTAGTTAACATTTACTTACAACTTCTTCATACTCCCTCACCTTTTGAGTTACTCTAGGTGATCTCCAAATGAACAAATATTAATAACATCCGGGTTATGCATTCATACAAAAAGCCGGGTCACAAAGTTCCGCATTACCTGGGTTCCGTGAGACTTCACTCCTGCGTGAGGTTCGGCCCCAGCATCTGAAAAGCAGCCTAAAGCGCAGTGGTGGCTGGGTAGTAGAGGTCGGCTGCTGGGAATGGGTCCCTTCGGGCGGGGAGGGCTCTCGCCCACCCCTCTCTGGGGTGCTCCCTCTGTACTCAACAGGGACCCAGACCCAGGAGCAGAAATCTGCCTGTTTCCCCCAGTCTCTGGTGACCCAGGGGTCACACCCAGAAGCCACACCCTGCCGGCACCTGATAATCTCCTCATCAACCACCCTCCAGCACTCATGGCTGCTCCTCCCAGACGGGAGTATAAAATGAGGCCCCCATAACCATGCCACCTGAGTCCGCGCGAGGCTGTTGTCACTCAGTACACCCCAGAGAGGGGTGGGCAAGAGCCCTCGCGACCCAAAGGGACCCAGCCCTCCTCCACTACCCAATTGCCACCACGATCCAGGCTGCTTTCCGGACACATCATAAGACACTTCCTACCCATTTTCCATAATTACCACACCATGTTTGATGGAGTTCAGACAGTAGGCAACAAATCATAGAGAGAAATTATATATATATACACACACACACACATATATATGCCTCTTGGAGAGCCCAGCAAGATACCAAGAGTATCCCGCCTGCACGGGCAGCGCCCGGCCAGCTCCCCATGGCATATTTGATATACCAAAACTAGTAACTATAACAGGTCTCATTCCCCTGACCATGAAAGAGCCTCTAATCATTGGGAAAGATGAGTAAGCTGCTAAAATCTGCTGCTAAAATCTCAGGGCTTTGACAAATAGAGACGTTACTGGCGCTCGCTCGAGAAAATCGGTGAACAACGGGATGACAGTGATACAGTGATACAAAAAGCATATGTCTATATACAAACAAAAATAATCTCTCATATAAGGACAGCCTTGGTAACAACAACAACAACAAAATCCACAAAACTTTTTCTTCTTCTGATTTTTTGGGCCACATCCGGCAGTTCTCAGGATTTACTCCTGGCTCAGTACTCATGGATAACTTCTGGAGGTGTTCAGGGTACCATGTGGGGTGGTGGGACAGAACCTGGGTCAGTTGCATGCAAGGCAAGAGCCTTACCTGCTAATACTATCTCTCCAACTCCCCGATCACACTCTTTACAGCTTTCAGTCTAGATAGGAATATTGTGGCCTGTGTGCATATATTAACATTTAAAACTACCTTTATTTTATGCCATGATTGACTCCGAAGCAGAGTTAACTTCAACTGCTGTTTCCCCACACTTCAGGTTGTCGGGGACCCCCACCTTATGGGCTACAGGTCAGCTATGATGGTCTTAGAAGTCAGAGCTAGAAATCTCCATAAGCAGGAGAAAGAATTGCCTTTTTAAAATGCCTCTAGTGGTGGGTGTGGAGTTGGAACATTGTGTGCCTGAAACTATTATTAACAGTAGTAAATCACGGTCTAATAAAAATTGGAGGGGAAAAAAACACATTAGGAAAGAAAGAAAAGAAAAAAGCACTCCAGGAAGTCAGGCCTATGTCACAACCAGACCTTCCCAAAATATGCTAGGTGGTCTACTCTTCACCAGAGAATAAGACAGAGACTAGGCCTTAGTCCCAAAGGGTGTGGCCCAAATACCCTATTCCATCCCCCGCCCCCACCGCCCAAAGACCCCGAACAGACTTAAAATAGATATTAAACCCACAGAATTCAAATAGGACTTATTTACTCAGCGCCAACAGGCCACAACAATGTGGGGGAAAGTCACTTACATGTTTGCACCAGGTGATTCCTTTTCTCTCATGGTCAATAACCAGGAACACACAGTCTCATTTCTCATGTCTTTATTTACAGGCAAGTGCATGTTGCTAAATTACCAATCACTGGCATTCAGGAACATTCTTTATAACAACAGAGGTGTCCAATGCAGAGTCTGATTAAAATAGGCTTAAGTTTTCACTTACCTCCACTGCCACTACGATCAAAATGAGATCCGTTTTTGACTCAGGAAAGAGGGCATTCACTTGTGGTGACATTCCAATCAGAGCACAATTAGTGACCACAGATATAACACTCATTGATTCAAATGCCAACTAAAAGGAAAGAGAAAGTGGAGTTAAAAGCCACAACGACTGCCCCTATAATTCTCATTTTTGTTTCCTTTCTCTGTAACCAAGGGAAAAGTCTTTCCCTGCTTCCAAATATCCCAAGTTTGTGTGTAAGTATATTCCAGACATTCTATAATATTACAGAGCTTTTTAACTTTAAACATTCATGCTTTAGTGGGTATTTTCTCAAATAATTACCTGCCATACACCAATATTGGAAGAAGGTTCTGAGAATGGGCGTTTGAACACCCTGCACATTTTTAAGGCATCTGAATTAACTTCGGTGAAGTTGTTTAGCACAGCAAAGGCGGCTGCTAATGGGTAAACACAGGAGAAGAGGCTCACATAACCAAATTGCAGAAATAACTCCAAGTAGTCATCAAAAGTACCCTGAAAATGGAAACCACAAGAAAAGACACAGTTTTAATATCACATAATAAAAGTAACATTTTGGAAACTAATTCCAAGGTAGCCATCTTTAAACAACAATAGGATTATAAAAAAAATAAAAAGAACAGAAAATCTCAATGAATTTCTCCAAATTTTTTATTTTCAACCCCAGAATTAAATGCAAGGGAAACTTTATATTCAAGTCCCTGAAATACAGAATGAAAAAAAATGCTTTTCCTGCTCATTTCATTTTGCCAAATCATTACATTCCCGACCCCCCCCCCCCCAAATAGTAAAGTTAAGGATATTTGTTCCTGGGGTGGAGACATGGTACAGGGGCTAGCCTTGCCTATAGTTGACTCCAGTGTGTTGCCTGCCACCACATATAGTCCCCCACGGCCCACTGGGAGTGGTCATCATCAATCATCATCAGGGACATTGGTATAAGAATGACAATGAGATATCACTTCACATCAGTGAGGATGGTATGATCAAAAAGACTGGAAACAACCAGGTTTGGTAGGCTGTGGTGAAAGGAACTCTCATTCACTATGAATAGGAATGTCATCTGGTTCAGCATCTATGGAAAACAGTATGGATATTCCCCAACAAATTACAAATAATGCTTCCATTAGAACCAGTGATTCCACCTCTTGGCATCTAAACCCAAACACAAAAATATTATGCCAAAAAGGTCTATGCACACCTATGTCCATTGCAGTGCCAAGGAAAATAGGATATGGAAACAACCAGTGTCCAATGACAGATGAATGGGTAAAGAAGTTGCAGCATATATACATATGGATATTACACAGCTTATAAGGAAAGAGGATGGAGCTGGAGGGTATCGAGTTAAATAAAAATAAGTCAGAGAAAGAAATATCAAATGATCTCACTCATCTTTAGTATACAGAGAAACAAAGTCACATACTTCTGCATCCTCAGGCCTCAGGATTATACAGGGCATGTGAAACAACTTGTTTAATAAAAACGACGTTCTTCACAGCATTGGATAGCAACATTAAACACACACACAGAGGCAAACACACACATATGTACACACATTTACCTATATATGTGTATATACAGATATGTATATATACATATATAGTGCACACATATATATACATAGTATATATGTGTGTGTATATACATACACATGTGTATATATATATATGAATAGATAGATGTAGATATATACACACATTTGTGTGTATGTGTGTGTGTGTGTGTGTGTGTGTGTATGGTTTGGGGGCCACACCCTGCAGTGCTTGTGGAACCATCCTGTGTCGGTGGGGATCAAACCTAGGGCCTGGCATGCAGACTATGTGCTTCAGCCCTTCAAGTCATCTCCTGGGCCGAACATTACTTTTAATTCGACAATATTAATGATTATTGCTGCGTCTCAGTCCTTCACTCAGATGAGCATATTGGGTTCAGTAGTTGAGAACTTTCATTTATGTCCATGTCCATTTCCAGTGAGTTGCTTTCTTTTTTTTATACTTTACTAAAATAGAAAGGAACCAAGCACAATTATAGATAAGTGGCGACGGCAGGAAGTGCTTCTCTCAGATGCTCTGGATACTTGGTTCGAAGCATGAACCCAGGGATTTCAAGTCAGCCTCGTTAGCTGTTGGCAGCACTTGCCAAGGAGTAAAGCCAAACACGTGTGCCTGGGAGCTGGCAGGCTGACAGGCCGATGCTCAGCTGGGGATTCAGCAGGGAACGGTTTCTAAACTACTCTTCAGTTGCATATGGCTCTAGAAAATATTTCCTTATGTTGTGCTGCAGCATACAGATGTGGTTTGAAAATATAGCCAGTGACACAGCATCGATTTATTTCTCTGAAGAGTGAAGTAATCAGGAGATGGGGAAAAGTAAGCATCTTAGCAATCACGCCGTCTTTACAATCATTTGTTTCTTAAGAAATCCTGATAGCCTGAGCTCAGCTTTCAAAAAATGTGCTGTTTCAGCTCATGAAAGAAAAGGTTGTGCCTCTGCAAAGACCTGTGGGTGGTTCCTCACCTACGTGCCGGTCACTGGGCAGCCTGCAGTAGACATGCAAAGGCCAGAGCTGGGAGGTGGCTCAGAGACAGAGCACAAGACTTGCCTGTATGAGATCCTGGGTTCAATCTCTGGCATCACCGAAACAAGGTGTTTCTGACAATGTTAGGGCACAACAACCAGAGAGGCCCTTCCCTCCCACTGACCCTGAGATAATTCACTCTCCTTCCACCTCACACGTCACTCAAATGGTACTGAATTAACTCTTTATCAGTCCCTTTTACTGCTGAACATTTTTGCATCTATAAAAATAGCATACCTGGAAAACAATATGGATGATTCTCAAAAAAATTAGAAATTGAGCTCCCATTTGACCCAGCAATACCACTCCTGGGAATATATCCCAGAGAGGCAAAAAAGTATAGTCAAAATAACATCTGCACTAGTATGTTTATTACTGCACTGTTCACAATAGCCAAAATCTGGAAAAAACCCGAGTGCCCGAGAACAGATGACTGGTTAAAGAAACTTTGGTACACAATGGAATACTATGAAGCAGTGAGAAAGGGTGAAGTCATGAAATTTGCAAACAAATGGTTCTACATGGAAAGTATTATGCTAAGTGAAATGAGTCACAAAGAGAGGGACAGACATAGAAAGACTGCACTCATCTGGGGAATAAAAGGAACAGAATGGTAAACGAACTCCCAAGAATAGTTGAGGCAAGTACCAGGAGGTCTGCTCCACAGCTTCGAAGCCAGCAGCACATGCTGGAGGAAAACGCAGCTCAAGATAGAGAAGGGAACACCAAGTAAAGGGTGTTTGGAGGACTCGCTCGGGATGCGAGACACACGCTGAAATTAAACTATAGATTGAACACGGTGGTCATTCAATACCTCCATTGCAAACCCCAACACCCTAAAGGAAAGAGAGAGCAAAAGGGAATGCCCTGCTATAGAGGTGTGGTGGGGTGGGTAGGGATGGGGGGGATGGGAGGGTTACTGGGTTCATTGGTAGTGGAAAATGGGCACTGGTGGAGGGATGGGTACCTGATCATTGTATAATTGAAACCCACACACAAAAATATTTAAGTCTACAACTGTACTTCATGGTATTTCACTAATAAAAATATAAAAATTAAATTTAAAAAAAGAGACAGAATCCCCCTGGGGAAGGACAAGCTGAATTGGCTGATGACCTACTCTGGGATTTATGGTAGAAGCCCAGCAGTCTTGTCCTCAGAGCTCAGAGAACTAAGTTTTAGAACCTATATCTCTTACTCTATTTATCCAAATAAATATTTCATTTCATTTCATTTCATCATCCTGTTAATCGTCGATTGCCTCGAGCAGGCCCCAGTAACGTCTCTTTCATCCTAGCCCTGAGATTATATTCACGGCTCTTTAGGAGAATGAGACCCATCATTGTTACTGGTATTTGGCATATTTGGTAGGCCACGGGGAGTTTGCCAGACTCTGCCCTGTGGGCAGGCTACATTCGATAGCCTGCAAGTTTGTCCAAAGTAGGAATGAGGTAATAAGATGTCTTCGGGTGCCAGAGCCCCGGTCGGGGCGGGGAGGAAAGCTCGACCCGCTCCCCTCCAAGGGGTCCCGGCGAGGGACACCCAGGCGCGGGGGCAAAAGACTGCACTGTTCTCGTCCGGGATCTGGATTTTATAGTCTCTGAGTCTTGGCCGCTGATGGGATTACACGGCGCCAGGGGGCCAGGTGGTGGGTGTGACCCCCGCCTACTGGAATTTGGAGGATCTGGGTGGAAGATGCTCGACTCCAATTCGAGTAGGCTTGGAGGTCTCGGCCCTGGAACCCGCGTTATTTCTTATTAAATAAATATTAATAAGAAAAAAATAGCATAATCCAATCCAGGATTTAATCCAACAGCAAAAATGGGGAAAAATGCAAATTGAACAAAGTAAACAATCACATGCTGAAATTTAAAAAAATAATAATAACGAGAAGAAACCTTAGCAAAAGATCAAATAAAATAAGGTTTTAGCCTTTATTTTATTTTTTGCTTTTTGGGTCACACCCAGCGATGCTCAGGGGTTACTCCTGGCTCTGCACTCAGGAATCACTCCTGACGGTGCTCAGGGGACCATATGGGAATGCTGGGAATTGAACCATTGAACCCGGGTTGGCTGTATGCAAGGCAAACATCATACCTGCTGTCCTATCACTTCATCTTCTTTTAGCCTTTTTTTAATCTTTCAGAGCAAATCAGTTATTAAGAATACTATGGAATTTCTTGGATTAATTTATTCCACATGGCTCATTTTGTTAAATGAAAGTCTAATTCATAACTGTTTGAGAGCCAAGTTTTGGGTGCCAGGTGAGCCCCTCACTTGGGCCCTTAGACAGTAAACATGCCTCAGGTTCCCTGAACTAAGTATATTCTTTGGTGCAGATCTGAATGAAAAGAAAATTAAATGTAGGATGGACAAAACAAAGAGCTCACAGACATCAAGCATTGAGTTGTTTTTCCCCTTAAATGTTCTTAATTCAATATCATACTGAGTTAAATGACGGGATCTAGGTTAGTAACGCGAGTTCCGAAAACAAATAACATGCAAAGCCTATCCTAAGTGCTAAAAATGGAAGACTACAAGCTAATTGCACTTAATGCCTAAGAGACTAATATATGAAAGAAAATTATATATATTTTTAAAAAATAGAGAGAGGCCAGGGAGTTGGCTCAAAGGGCTGAAAACACATGCTTTGCATACAAGAGACCTCAAGTTCGATGCCTGTCTTGGCATGGCTGAGTTATGGCACAAGTGCTTCCGCCCACCCGCCTCCCTCTCCCTGCCCCAGGATCTGAGTAGTAGTAGGATCCCAGAGCCCAAGCAATGAACAGTCAGTTGGACCAAGGATCACCGGAAGTGGCCCCAAGCCCTGAGTACCACTGGGGAGTCCTGCCTCAAAACACAAAACCAAAAATACCCCAAGTTTCTTAAATAGAAAATATTGTGCAAGTAATATTAATCATTTAAATACAAACATGGTGTGCTATTAGAAAATTTATTAATATAAAGAAAATACAAAATATTCATAGGAAATAATGGAAAGTCTCAACAGAAACAAAATTTTGATAAAATTTAACTTCATTCAAAATAAGAAAAAGACTTTTGTTTTGTTTTGTGGCCTGGAAATACTCAGGACTTACTCCTGGTTGTGCTCTGGGATCACTCCTAATAAGGGACCATATGGGATACTGGGGGTCAGACGTGAAGTGGCCATGTGCACGGCAAGCACCTTAGCCACTATTCTCTCCCTCCGGCCCCCAAAATGACCATTTTTAAACTGATAAAAGGTTATCTACCAAAACATGAAGCAAGCATAACCTTCGATGATGAAAAAAGGGTAACACTCAATGGTGAACCCCCCCCCAAAAAAAATTCCTGCTCTAACTACTTCAGTCCAAATTGTGTGCTGAAAATGAAAATGAAAGAAGAAAAGAAGAAAATGCTATCATTAATTTATAACTGAAACAACTATCTACAGAGAAAGTCCCTAAAAATTGGAAACAACAGACTTCAACAAACTCGCTAGTTAATAAGTGACATTTCCTTATGCTGGCAACAATTAAGCTATTTCTAAAGAGTACTTATTTACATGAAACAGTGTAGTCTCAAATAATCTCTGCAGATAAGTAATTTTTATGCAACAAAGTGACAAAGGACATTTGAAACTGGCCTATGATCAGGTCAAACCATCAAGCCAGGTGGCCCACACAAGCGACAACCACACATCCGTGTTTCTGATGGGTGCAGAGGAGGTGCACCATCAAATCCCTGAGCTCCGCTCTCGTGAAGAAGCACACAGGATGACTCTCTCAAAAGCCAGCATCTTCCAAAGCAAGAAAGACAGAGAAGATCCTTCTACAGCTGCAGTTGTCAACGCTTCTGGATTTGGAGGCCCTAAGTGCCTAGAAAGGGTTGAGATCACCCAAGACCTATTTAGGAGTTATTACACCTGGTGACATCTACCACATTAGGGATTAAAACTCAAGGACCGGAGAGCTAGCCAAAGGGTGAAGGCATTTGTAGTCACCCAGGTTCAATCCCCGGCACCACAGGTGCCCCCCAGCCCCTGTCCCAGTACTTCCGGAAATGACCTCCAAGCACAGAGCCCTGAGTGCTGCAAGCAATACCCCCAAAGCCAAAGACAGAAATTAAAACTCAGAACTTCAACAAACATTCCTGTCTCACTTAATGATAAACAAAAACATGGTGACACAGATAAAGTATTGTTCCGAAAGTAATTACATCTCCGTAACAAACAGAAAATAAATGTTAGCATGGGAAATGATGTGCCTCGACATTTCCTGCACGCTTCTTGACTGTCTTGGTGACAGAAAGCAGCTCCCTCACTGGGGTCTGTGCTGCTGTGGTGCAGTCATCACACACATTCAGCCCCTTTGCCTATGCGGTCTCGAGTGACCTGGTCACTCAGGAAGAGGAGCAACAGACAGAAGAGCCCAGATGATGCCTCAGAAGAGTCCTATGCTGGCAGGGCAGGGTCAGGAGACCCAGTGGACCACCCTGTGTGACATCATCGGGAACTGGTCCCTGATTTGCTCTGTCCCACATTTTCTAAGTCTTCTAAAGCAAAGGGCCAAGTCTTCCTTCCATGACAGCATTCGTCAAGTTCCAGTCAAACTGCTTTTCCATTAGTCTTTACACTATTTCAGATTCATTCTGAACAGTCAGGACAGGTAGAGAGTGGAGAAAGTAAAAGAGGAACTTGGGCTGGGGCAGGGGATGGGTGGGTGGGAATCACACAGGGCCCTATAAGCAGGTTAGAGAGCGGCACTATTCTCACAGACTGCCCAGGCCTGTAAGAGAAACTAATACTATTTCCTTTATTCAAAAAGCTGTATCTCGAGTTCTATAGTCACTAAAGTGTGGTGCTTTCAGTCACCCTTTTTTGGGGGTGGGTGGGTGGGGGGAGTTGGGGGAAGTTGGTGGGGAGGGAATGCCCAGTGGTGCTCAGGGCTGACTCCTGGTAGGCATCAGGAAACTATATGGGGTCTTGGGGATCAAACTAAGGTTGGCCACATGCAAGGCAAGTGCCCTACCCACTGTACCATCTCTTTGGCCCCAGTTGTCTATTTCTCAGATAAAGTGATGCCTGCTTCACCTTCCTTCTTCAAAGTACTCTGTGTTGTCCCGGATGATAGGAAAGGTGAGATCTAAGATTCTGACAGTGTTGCCTTATTAAGCTATAGTTCTCAGACAAATTAGGATTGCTCAGATGCAGGGCACAATGTATAAGTCAGTGTCTCCTATAGTGGTCGACACCACCCCTACCCCTCCCAGAGGCACCAGATCAATCTGGGCCTGGGGTTGGGGAGGAGTGGTAGGAGCACCAGGTGCAACCTGGGCCCCTGGAGGGTATTTTCTCTTCCCTAAAAGGAGGTTATTTCCCAGGGGTCACTGAGTGATGCTCTTTCTGAACAGAAGGCAGTGAGCCAAGGCAGAAGCCTGGGAACCTCTGGACTGTGTGCCACTCACCCAGCCAGGAGAGAGGCAGGAAAAACTGGGCCAGCAGGAGACTGTGAATTTGCTTTGGGGTCCTTCGGGGGGGATGAAGCTGTGAGTCCTAACAATTCTGAAGAAAACCAGACTGATACCAGCTTCTACCTGGCGACAAGAGGAGAAGCAGGGAAACAGGCAGCAAGAGAGAAAATCGCTTTCTTTTTAAGAGATATTGAAATTGCAAGGGGAAGGAAAGAGGATGCAAGCCAAGGACAGGAGGGATGTGCTGGCCTGAAGGAGGAGAGCTGCTGTCATTTGGGGCAGGAAGAAGAAGGGAGAGGGAGACACAGGCGGCCCAGGTGGGGCCAAATGAAGCCAGACCTGAAAAGTGTGGATGTGGATGAAGAACTGGTGGGGGGGGGGGGGGTTGGAGAGAGTGGGTTTTGTTTCTAAGAGAGAGTGAAGGAAGGCTCAGAAAAGCAGTGCAGGGATGAGGGGTTTGCTTTGCATGCACTGATTGTGGTTTAATCCTGGCACCAGATATGGGCCCCTGAGCATTGCCAAGAGTGATCCCTGAGCACAGAGTCAGGAGTGAGCCCTGAAAACTGTTAGGTGTGGCACAAAAAAAAAAAAAAGGAAGAGAAAGAGTGTGTAAAGGCGGAAAAGGAAACATGGCTAGAAATACCAGTCCTAAACAAGAATTCTGGCTCATCTGAATTTGAGTTTCTAACCCACCGCATGAGCCCAACCAATTGGGACAAATAGCTCCCCATTATTCTCATGTGCTCCCCAAACTCAACTTGCATGCACATGTGTATATATGCAGGTGCATGGTTCTAAGACAGGTATGGTACTGCTGGCCAGGGTGTGTTGTAAGTTTGTGTTTTGAGTTGCCTTTTCCCTCAAACATAGCAATGGCAGAAGATGCTACTGCATATGTGTTTATTTTAGTAAAACATATATGCCACAGCTCAGAAATAAGCACAGCAGCAGCACAGGTAAGAAATGGAAGAGAATGGAAGGTGGCAGGCAGGGGGTCTTTTGGATTCCAAAGCTACAGATCAAGAGAGGTAACAACGACCTGTGCCCTCCTGGGGACCTCACTCCTCTAGGATATAAGTGGAACCAAGAGGTGAGAACAGTGTCCCTGACCTTAAGGGGAACCTAGTCGGGGGTAGGTTCGGATACTGTAGCCTATCCAGGCATGTCACTTGTAAGGTCTGCAGCTCTCTCTTCTCTGCAAACCTCACCATCACTGCCAAGCAGGAGCACTGTACCTCAAAAATGGGCAAAGCTAGGGCTCTAGAGGGTGGGGATGGGGGGCAAAGGGGAAGCAAGGCAGGCAGCAATGGGGCACTGCAAAGGTAAGTCAAGGAGTTTACCAGAGAGAATAAGATTCTATTCAAAATGAACAAAGAACCTAAATTCTTAAACCTGTAAGGACGGTTACTATAAAAGTATCTTCCCTACCAAAACAAACAAACAAAATTGCTCAACAGTAAGATGAAAACAAGATTCTAAGAGTTAATAATGGACTCTCCCTCCCCACTAAAGAATATCCCCCCCACACACACACAAGACAGGAGCAGGGTGAGATAAGAGAAACAGCAACCTTCAGCAATGAGAACCCCAAGAGCAGCTCCCCCCAACAAACAGAGAAATATCCAGTATGGTCAGAGCACCACAAAAGTTTGCGTAAGGCAAGCACAGATTTTATGAGCATGATTTTTCAAGTGTTACAGTGACCAAAACATCAGAGACTTGCTTGTATTTCCCAAAATCAACTCAAGAATTATGTCTTTTTTTCAGAATTATGTCCTATAGGAGCAATTTATGTTTACAATAAGTAAAGTAAAAGTAAAAGTAACTAAGTAATTTGATCCAAAAATTCTCATTGCTTCAATCTTTTCTCTGACACAGAATGGTCAAGTGTGATCAATGCCACTTCTTCTCCATGGCCATCTCACCACTCCCCTGGGAATGACTATTCTCCATGTTCAGCAAAGCGGTCACAAACCTTGCCAAACTAGGCAAAATTTCAGACACAAGGCTGCAAGCATTCATGCATAGCAGCTTCTTTCTAACATGAAAGTAGTGTTTGTGGTGTGTGTGTGTGTGTGTGTGTATGTGTCTGTTTGTGTGTGTGTGTGTGTGTGTGTGTGTGTGGTAAAGAGGCTATCTGGAAAATACTAACAAAATAGCCAAATATAGACAGCAAGTGTCTACCATTTTTGTAAACTGAATACATGACTGTTACTTGCTTTCAGTCTGTGTTTAATTCACCAATATTCAAACTTACCAAATAGGTTCCCATTTCTTTTTCTACAACAACCTGCTCATACAAGGTAGCATCGAAGTCAGCCTTCAAGGCCTGGACCTTCTTCTTCACCTGCACATGGTACTTCTTTTGGAGCCAGTAAGGAAGAAGAGACTCCACAACTTGGTTAATGATCTGGGAGGTAATCAGGAGAGTGGCCAAACTCTAAAGAAAAACATATAAATAGTATTTGGCAATGTAGCTTAACAGAATCATAACATGTGTTCAAAATGATTCAATAAATTAAGTGGAATCTTCAGTAAAGAGTATTCTGCTGTGTTGGCAAACTATCTTTACAAGGAGACTGTGAACTATTATTGAATGAAGCATTATCTCCTCCCCACTTCCCTGTATCAAGGCTGCCTGCTGCTTGCCTATGTGCATGAATATTCATCCATGAGTGATGGCTTACTAGGGATGAACTAAGGCTCCTGACAGAACCGTCCCAGGTTCCAGAGGAATCACATCCATTTCCACTTTGATCAGACAATAATTCTCCAATTCTGCTGCTCCCTCCCTCTCTCCCTCTCTCCCTCTCTCCCTCTCTCCGTTTCTCTGTCTGCCCCTGTCTGCCTCTCTCTCTCTCTCTCTCTCTCTCTCTCTCTCTCTCTCTCTCTCTCTCTCTCTCGGCTGATTTTGTGAAATTAAGGGATTGCTGTGAAACCTGTGACATTAACACACAGCACTCCTTTATCACTAACCAAGCGTGTTAGTCACCAACCTCCTTCAGTTAGTTGAAAAATGTTAGCCATTAACCAAACGCCTCCCTTTACTTTGTCATCGAGTGATGTATTCTAGCTTGCCTGTGTGAACTAAGACCACGTTTCCAAAGGCAGGTACATCATTCAGAGAAAACTTTTGACTGTTCCTCAGTCTAGCTCCTAAATTTTGCTCTGAATAACCTCTTAAAATAAACTTTTCTGCTATTAAACTCTGAATGAGCTTCACATCAGCAATTTTTTCATATTAAAGTTCTTTTTTTCCTTTGGCAGTGCTCAGGGATTACTACAGGCTCTGTGCTCGAGAGGATCACTCCTGGAGGGGCTCAGAGGACCATATGGGATGTGCGGGATCAAGCTCAGGTAAGCGACATGCAAGGCAAATGCTCTACCTAATGTATTATCACTCCGACACCAAAATTCCATTTTTTTAAACCATCTCATATCAGTCCTCCATCTTCTTTTAAGTAAATGAAGCTCTCTTAAGAAATGAGAAATCATTACCCATGAATATACTAATGATGGGAATGGAGAAGGTAATGTATCTCAAACTTATCAATTTCAAATGTATAATTTTGAGATTTCTCAATTTTTAAATAATTTTTAAAGTGTCCCTCTATTAAGAGGTTAGATCCACAGCTACAAAATCTTGTAACTTTCTCTGATTATACAATTCTTTTAATACCATGAAAAATGATCCTTAGTTATTATATAAATATTAAGAAGCATGGGCTTCTTAATTTTCTTCACTAACAATTACAGAATATTGGGCCAGAGAGATAGTACAAAGGTTATGGTGCTGTGGCCTTGAACTTAATTCAAATCCCTGGTACCAAACACAGTCCCACCACCAGACATAGCTCCTGAACACAGAGCCAGGAACTAATAACACCTGAGTATCACTGAACAGCACTTCACAACATCCGAAAAATAAGCAATCACAGAATATTATGGAAAGAACGGCCCTTCCTGATAGCTGACTCAGATATTTAAAAAAAGTAAATAAAAGAATTTAGAAAGCAAGGGTCATTTTACTATTTACTGATGAAAGATACAAAAGAAGTAACATACCAAGATAAATGTCAGACTTTAACAAATTCAGAAAAGATACAGGACTGCAGGTTTCTCAAATCAAACAGAGAAATCTATTAATTTGAAAATTAAATAGATAAGCCCTATGTCAGTTATATCAATCACCCCCACTCTGAGATAAACTGACATATTCAATTAATTGATACACTTTGTGCTATTAGAATTGATTTTGGCAAGCTTTCCGACGAAGCCTATATTTGACTTTTACTGCCCTATGTGATTAATCTTACAAGCTGGTGAGCTTCGATTATTTTCTTTCCAACTGAGTACAGTATGTGACACAATTGCTTATTAAGAATGGGGCTTAGTGATGCCAGGGAGATAGTACAGCAATTAAGGCACTTGCCTTGCATGAAACTGAGCCAGGTTCAATCCCCAGCCCTCCATCTGGTTCCCCCAAGCTCTGCAACCTCTGGTGTGGACACTACCACCACATTCACCCTCTCAAAAGAAGAACTGGACTTAGAAAGATACAAAACTTAAAATATCTATAAAATCAATAGCACTGTAGCACTGTCCTCCCATTGTTCATCGATTTGCTCAAGTGGGCCCCGTAATGTCTTCATTGTGAGACTTGTTGTTACTGTGTTTGGCATATTGAATACGTCACGAGGAGCTTGCCAGGCTTTGCCATGCAGGCGAAGATACTCTCGGTAGCTCGCTGGGCTCTCCAAGAGGGGTGAAGGAATAGAACTCGGCTCAGCCAGGCCGGCCATGCGTAAGGCAAACGCCCTAACACTGTGCTATCATAATATGAAAATAATTACATTGTCTGAAAACAGGATCCCACCTCTAAAACCTATGAAATTGATCATACCTTTTTGTTATTCACACTCACCTGACGTAAAAGCTTCATATCCTTCAGGACAAAGGCAATGTAGAAGAGCGAGGCAAAGCAATTTAGAAAGTTGAACTGTGGGGGGGAAAGAGCAACATTTAGCAATGTTTTAGAGTTCTGTAAGAGTACAGTGTGCAGGGCCTAAGAGGTAGTTCAGTAGTAGAGCATATGTAGAGGGTCCTAGGTTCAAGCCCTAGCACTGGAAAACAACAACAACAACAACAACAACAACAACAATATTAATAATAAACGACAGACTTCCAGTCCAGCCAAGATATCACAGACTTGTGTATTGCTCATCCATCTTTAGTAAAACGTTTTTAAACTCTGGAAATAACACAGGGGGGAACCTATAAAGAACTCTGAAAGGTGCTAGAAGACAGGCAAAATAATCTCAGAATATAGCACCAGAGCATCGAGCCTCCCTATTACCTTCTTACAAGAGAAGAAGAGAGACATCAGAGCAGAGATCCCTGAATCTAGCACCCCAGGGAGGGTCATTCCCTACTCACCCCACCTCTTTCTACCCAAACTGGACACTGACAGCAGCAGAACTGGCAGAAGGGACTGATCAGGATGCCCCACTAACTCTAAGTTGCCAGGGCAAGAGTTCTCCTCCCTGCTGGGCCTGGGAAGACATCCAGATAGTCAGGCAGCACCACATAGAAGGACACCCCCCCAACACACACACACACACACACACACACACCTCCGCCCCCAGTCAGCAGCCCAGTCTATGCCCAGGGATCAAAGACTCCCCATGCCCAAAACCCAGTAAAAGAGACTGTCCACAACAACCAGCTGGACTGGTCACCATGGGCCATTAGTAAGAGACTAATCTACTGTAGTCTGGCGGGGGGGGGAGTTGAGGGGGAGAGAAGGGGTAGGCAGAGGGGGATGAGGGATGGGGGGGAGGGCCTGCACCAACCAGGGGGATCCCACTACAAGTGCCCTTTCATCAGTTACCCTGTTCAAGAACCAGAAACTACTCCTGGCGGCTTTGACAGATTTCCTTTCTGCCTCCCTGCCCCATGCTGGGTGACTTCCACAGAGCAGCATGGCTTTCTGAGACAAAAGACTACTCTGTGTACAAGCCCAGGAACTGATTAACGAGGAAACGGGGAATCACTGCAGAGTGAGGTCAATATAGACATCAGTAGGGGTGAGGTACTAAGTTAGAGTAGGAGTGGAATAGAAAAAGCCCCAGAAGGTGAGACATGTCCTCCCATTATATTAAAAAGGAAGACAGAGACGTAAGAAATGCAACCAGACAAGAAGATTCTCACAGTGGAGTCTTTTTAAAAGGTATAATAAAGCCTCACAAACAGCAAACTTTAAGATAAATGGAGGGGTTTGTTTTGTTTTGTTTTGTTTTTACCTATCCAGGCATCTTTTTAAAAATGAACTTTTTTTAAAAAACACATTACATGTTCCCCTGCTTTCTTACACAAAGAACGCAGAAGGCAAGTTTCCTGCTGATATGGCACCAACATGTTGAGTATCATTTATTTCACGATGCGAGAATGAGGCCTTCACATTGCTTAAATACAACTGGCTGCATGCGGCTTTCATTTGCCAAGATTACTAAGAAATACATATACATATTGTATTATTATTATCTAGTTATGACACATTTTCTATTTCCGTGCCACCTTTGCTGTTATAAATGCACCTATTTCCCGAAACCTAAATACCCTCCTAATAAGTGGTTTTTGTAAAGGTCTAAAGAACAAAACAACCCCCAGATAAATAAGCTTCTTATAATGATTTCTACAGCTGGAACAAAGACTCTTTCTAAGTGAGGGCTGTTGGGAGCAAAGTACGTGGACTGTATTCATCAAGTGCAGTTGGACGGCCAGAGGACTCTATTCCTTGGTGCTGTTATCTTAACAGGTGCTGAGGTAATCTCCTCACAAATGAGGTGCTTTCAAGCTGGCATCTCTTTGTTATTTATAATAATGCTGGAAAGAGGCAAAATGTGTGAAATTTTACACAAACATCAAGCTGATTACCCATTTCCTTCTCTCTACTTCTACCCTACTCTTTCCTTCTACCCAATGAAAAATCTGGGACCTTCTTAGATTTTAGAAATTTCTCTGACAAAATTCTGAAAAATAATTATTTAGGATTAGGGGGAGGGACAGGCGGTTCTCTCAACATGTGCTCAGGAGATCTGGGGACCCCTCCCTTTCAGTGATTCTCAGCCAACAGGGAAAGCAGTTCAATGCAAGGGCTGGAGGACGCAGCACTGTCTGGGTCCTGTGGTGCCAGGGTTTACCTGGGCGACCCCAGCCATGTTCAGGAGCCTCCCAGGAGAAAAAGCTACGGGGACCAAAGCTAGGGGGACCATGTGGTGCTGAGGACTGAACCAGGGTCAGCCACAATCAAGGCAAGCGCCTAAACCCCATTACTTTGAAAAATAATGTTCTTTCACTAAACAGTTTTTGAGTAATTGGAATAATTATTTATTTTATGTTGATGTTCAGCTTCCTTTTATGTTTTTAAATTTCTTTTTTCCAAGATTTTTTTTTGTTGAATCTGTGAGATAGACCTTTACAAAGCTATTCATGATTAGGTTTCAGTCATACAGTGTTAAAACACCCATCCCTCCACTAGTGTACATTTCCCAGTGTCCCCAGTTTCCCTCCCATCACCTCACATCCCACCCCATCTCTACTGGCAGGCATCTCTCTCTCTCTCTCTCTCGCTCACTCTCTCTCTCTCTCGCTCTCTCTCTCTCACTCTCTCTCTCTCACTCTCTCTCGCTCTCTCTCTCTCGCTCTCTCTCTGTCGCTCTCTCTCTCCCTCTCTCTCTCTCTCGCTCTCTCTCTCTCTCTCACACACACACACACACACTTTTGGGCATTGTGGTTTGCAGTACAGACACTGAAACGTTGTCTTGTATAACTAGAATGATTATTAAACAGTGAATCAAAGTCATCACAGGGAAAAACAAAACATTCATAAAATGGTTCATCACTTTCTAAATAACTATATATTGGCTCTACTTTCTGTGTAGACCACTTTTTTATGATTACTGAACATGTGCATAAACACATTAATCAATCCTTGCCTACTTGCACAAAATATAGTAACAATCTGATATATCACAAGCAAGTCTTCATCATTATACTGCAACATGCTACATAATAAGCATTTGTTTCATAACTAAATGGACTTATAGATTCAAAACTCAACTTACCACCAGAACTTTCAGAATGAGATGGTTCTGGTAGGCAGATTCCAATCGGTGATTCTCTGAAATATGAGAAGAGAGGTAATTCCTCCAGGATAAGAAAGCAAGATGGGGAGCACTGTCCATTGAGAAAGCAAGACGTGAGCAGGGGGGCAGACAGGGGTCTGACCACAGAGTCCCTGTCGGGACATATTCTGGGCTGCCACTCCAGGCTACTGTTTCCCACCTGACACTCAGCTGAAGACACATTTTTCATGGTGCAGCCATTGGAACTATACTCTGTAATTATATTTTAAATACTACCACTACCATGTCCTGGGTTAGCAAGCAATCCCATAAGTGGCCACCCAGAAAGAGATCCTGAGTAAGTGGGAACAGTCAAAACGTACTGCAATCTCCAAAGAGCAGAACAAAGCTTTCTGTATATGTGGCTCATGGGAATTGTAAGGGAAATTCAAAGTTTCATTCTTGTCCAGGAAAAGGAGAAAAGGTCCCAACACAAGCAGGGTGAAAGGATCAGAAGGAAGACTGGGGAGCAACGAGAGGCCAGAGCAATAGTACAGTAGGTAGGGGTTTGCCTTGTAGGCAGCTGACCTGGATTTAGTTCCTAGTACCCCATATGGTCCCCCATATGGCAGGCCAGGAGTGGTCCCTGAACACAGAGCTAGGAGTAAGGCCTGAGCATCACTAGGTATGCCCCTCTCCAAAAAGTCAAATAAATAAATAAATAAATAAAGATTCTGGAGAAGGGTGATCTCAAAGCCCATCTGGATAAGAACTCCAACTCAGCTGCTCAGCGACACTCTCTTTGCCTGTGAAAGAATGCTGACACCATCCACTTCCCGGGGCAACTGAGAGGGCAAAACTTCAGGAACAGCACAAGGAAAACTCAAGAATAGCAGCTTTTGTTATATAACTAATAACTATTTAAAACAGCATGCTGAGGCCAAAGAGGCAGTATGGGGATAAGGCATCTGCCTTTCACATGGCCAACCCCATTGGATCCCCAACACCACAACAGCACAGAGTCAGAATTCAGTTCTGAGCCAGGGCTAGTATGGCCTAAAATCAAGAACAAAACCAAAGAATCTTAATAATTCATGAAGTGTAGACTTTGTCCTAGAGTAAATGGTTTAACAGAACATTTTTGGGGGGCTCAAGAGATAGTATAGTGGGGAGTTTGAACTATACCAGTGGTGTCAAAGGGTTATTACAGCTTTGTGCTGGAGGTCACTTCTAGCAGTGCTCAGGGGACCAGGCAGTATGGGGAGCAAATCTGTCATTAAGCTCTCCTCTCTCCTCTCCCCACTCCCTCTCTCCTTCTTCTCTCTCTCTCTCTCTCTCTCTCTCTCTCTCTCTCTCTTTCTCTCTCTCTCTCTCCCCCCCCCCCGCCCTCTCCCTAGTCTATGTGGCCTCTAGAAACACTCCCTATAGATTATATACAAAGTACCAAGACTTACCCCATGAAGTCAAAAATTCAGCAGCATAGCGATAGAGCCTGTTCATGATCTCGATCACGACTGCATAGATGATGCTGGGCACATACAACAAAAAGCTGGTCCACTCGGACCCACTGCTCTCATGCACATCCAGAGCCCACGCCTCCAAGTCAAAGTAAATCATCATGACGTACAGTGAGAAGTAGAGACAGAGACACACAAAGGGCAGGGAGACCAGGTAAATGCGCAGCTGCCTCTTGTAGCTGGGGTAGAGGGGTTCCTCCCTGCCCGTGACTGGATTGATACCCAGGACCCCGTGATATCCAGGCCGGGGCTCCTCAAACTGTCTTTTCATGATCAGCGTCCCCCATCTGTAGGTCATGGTGGCACAGCCACGCTTCCACACTTCTAGGATCACCGTGGACCAGATCAGGTTGAATGAGGCGAAGATCACGTACTTGTCATAGTCTTCCCACACAAACAAGTAGTAAGGCAACCCAATAACTGCCATTGGGATTAAGGCATACGTGAAAAATTCCAGAAATCCAAAATAAAGCGCAATCGTTTCCCCAAAGTAGCCCCGGATATTATCTATAAAGGAAACAAACAAAAAGCCCTCAGTAAAGCTACCAAAGATTATTTTTCCTTTTTTTTTTTTTTTTCATTTCAAGCTACTCATTTTTTTTCAGCTAAGTGTGTGGAGTCTGGAACAATAGCACAACAGTAGGGCGTTTGCCTTGCACGCGGCCAACTTGGCCGACCTGAGTTTGATTCCTCCGCCCCTCTCAGAGAGCCCGGCAAGCTACAGAGAGTATCTCACCCACACAGCAAAGCCTGGAAAGCTCCCTGTGACATATTCAATATGCCAAACACAGTAACAAGTCTCACAACGGAGACGTTATTGGGCCTGCTCGAGCAAATCGATGAACAACGGGAGGACAGTGCTACAGATGTGTGGAAGTCTGACCAAAATGGATGCATTCACTCAACAGAAAGACAAAACACAAAATTCAAGTGGATCAATAATGTTAAAGAATGAATGTAACTAAAAAAGTTACATTTTCTTTTCTATTTTTTTCCTTACACCAATCAATTGACTATCTTTTTTTGTGTGTGTGTGCCTTTTTGGGTCACACCCAGCAATGCTCAGGGGCCACTCCTGGCTCTGCACTCAGGAATTACTCCTGGCGGTGCTTGGGGGACCACATGGGATGCCGGGGATCGAACCTGGGTCGGCCGCGTGCAAGGCAAACGCCCTACCCGCTGTGTTATCGCTCTGGCCCCATGAGTATCTTATTGTTGTTTAATTATTTTATTCTGTTTAACTATCATATTCCTTGTTTAGCTACTTAACTGTTTAATCACTAAACCATTTAACTCTTTGTTTACTAACTACCGAACCACTTGACTCTTGGTTTAACTATTTACATTTTAGTTCTAGCTTGACTGCTTTATTTTTTGGTGTCTGTGTTAAGCAATGTATTGTTTAGTTCACCACTTTATGGCTTCTGTAAATTTGTTTGCTTAGTGAAATTTCAAGAAGTGGTTTGGTCCTTTTAAAAAAAATCCTTTCTTTTTACATTCAGAGCTGCCTTTCTCAGGCAGGCTGGGTTTGAGAGAGCAGTCGCTGGCCAGCTAATAAAGGTTCCTTGATTTGAGACGAATTTGGGTTATAGAGCATTTTGGGGGTGCCTGACCTACAGCAGGTGGGGGTCACTGCATGTCCTGGTCTCTAGTCAGTGTGTGACAGTCAGTCTAACCTCCACGCAGGCAGTCCAGAGCCCACTCAGCTGCACACCAGCACCAGCCTGGCTTTCCCCAGCTCCTGGCCCAGCCCTGGCTATTAGAACTGCTCTGCCAAGGCCTCTGGTGCTGTTTCCCCTGGACTTTCTTACCTGCTGGCATCTCCTACCCAAAGAAAAAGCTCTCCTCAGGGCTTGTCACAAATTTCCAATGTCCTATATTCAATTCGGCCACAGCCAATGAAGCGTTTGGATTCGAGGACTTCATTTATCTTCCCACTTTCTTCCCACCTTACGATTCCAGTTATTAATGTTCTTTTCAAAGAGGATTCCCCAGCCGTATCACCCTGCTCGCCCATCCTTCCAAAATGATGGAACTGACAATTTCCACCATATGTCATATTTCAGTATAATGAATATTAAAAAAAAACATTAAAAAGTACAAGATAGGGGCTGGGTGAGTAGGGCACTTGTCTTACACGCAGCTGACCTAGGTTTGATCCCCTGTACCACATAAGGTCCCCCAAGCCCGGCCAGGAGTGATCGCTGTGTCTAGAGGCAAGAGCAAGCCCTAAGTACTGCTGGGTGTGGCCCCTAATGACCCTCCCCCAAAAAATTTTTTTTAAAAAACTACCAAAATGTAGCACTGCACTGTAACACTGTCCTCCCATTGTTCATCAATTTGCTCGAGCAGGCCCAGTAACGTCTCCATTGTGAGACTTGTTGTTACTGTGTTTGGCATATTGAATACATTACAGGTAGCTTGCCAGCTTTGCCGTGTGGGCAAGATACTCTCGGTAGCTTGCCGAACTCTCCAAGAGGGGCAGAGGAATCAAACACGGCTCGGCCAGGCTGGCTGCGCAAGGCGAATGCCCTCCTGCTGTGCTATCGCTCCAGCCCTACCAAAATGTAAAAGTTGAATATACAGACCTACATATGCTTACACAAAGTAATGTTCAACACATACTAAACAAGTAACTGGTGATTTTCTTGAGTTATACTCAAGAAAAATGGATAAATACAGTAATACACACAAAATATTTTTAAAGTACCTCAAAAATCTTTATTAAGCATTCTGGTCTACCTCGAAGAATGAGTATGCTTGGCCCATTCCAAATAATTAGCTCTAAAGTATTTTTTCTAAAACAAAATATTCATAAACAAAATTCTCATAAAATCTATTCTATTCCAAGTAAAACAGGTTACTTATAAGGTCACTCTGTATTGCTTGTGCTGGTGAAATTTAGTGAAAAACTATAATTCAGTCTATAACGTGGTATGACAGGTAAGTGGAGAGAGACATACTTATATACACATATAAGTAGGTTGTATAAACCATCACACACACACACACACAAACACACACACACACACACAAACACACACACATTTTTTCCCAACGCAGCTGGTGAGCCCTGAGTGGCAGAGCATTTGGTATCACCCCCAAGGCCTCACACCACTGCTGAATCCCTTTTTCATGGATAGTCTTCCTCTTCACTACCATGCAGGTGTTGACCCCTACCTATAGGCTGATATCGAAATGGAAGCCGGGTGTACCAGGTGTCTTCAAGTTTCTTTAGGGCTTCATTATCATGAAGGGGAAACACCTGAATCATGATGCCAGAGGTAAGCAATCTTCTCACTGCAGAGGGAAAGGGTTGCAAACTTCATTAAATGGATTTGAAATTGCCCTAAATATGTTTCATTGAGTACTATAAATACACCTCAGTAAGATATGAGTGTTAGACAAAAATCGGTGCTACACTACTTATTTCAAAGGCTTATGTTCTTTTATTCTACAGAACACACAAAACATTTTTACTATTTACTTTGATTAGGAATGAGCGTAAAATTTAAACCATAGTACAAATTAGAATTTGAAAGGCCCTGGTTATTTTTCTCTCCTTGGCAAATTATAATGAATACTTTTCAATGCCAAAATAAATAATGAAATACCCCTTTTAACACTGTCATAATATTCCATTATTAAACATATGCTATAATATCCCCTTAAATTAAGTACTATAATTTAATCTTTTTCTATTAAAAAGTGTTACAGTTCTCATACAAATACTTTTACCCACCTGTCTACTATATCTTATCATATAGACTTAGACGTAGAATTGCTAGGTCCAAGAATATATATATGTACATATATATATAAAATACCAAGATATGCCAATATAAATCCATTTTAATAGTTTTTAAAATGCATAAGATAAATATCCAATGTTGCTAGAAACACACTAAACAACTATACACCCAAATAACCAAACAATCTCAAGAAAGAACAAAGCTGGGAACCTTACACTTCATGATTCCAAAACTTACTACAAAGCTATAGTGATCAAAGTAGGATAGTACTATCATAAAGATAGTTAAATTCATTAAGATGGTAAATATATCAATTGGGTAGACATTTTTGTACATTAACAATATCTCTATAACTATGTGCCTAAGTCTATTTTCCTTTATAACATAAACACCAATGGATAATAGACACCAATTTCAAAAGTGTCTCTGGAAAGCTTTTTATCAATTTCCTCTCCCACCAAAACAAAGAGAATGTTCCTTTTATCTTTGTTGATTCTGAATATTTCCAATCATTTTCCTCTTTTCTAAACCATTTACAAGCTTATAGTAACAAAGAGCAAATACCAAATCAGATAAGGGCTTCTTTACTCTCAGACTCATTTGACTCGTGTGAATTTAACACTCATGCATCCAACTGAAAGAGATCAGTATATTTAGCTAAAAACACAACCAAAGACAATATCCTCCAGAAATAATCTATAGGCATTCGCTTATAAATGACTGAAGTGGTTCACTGGGTGCGGACCTTCGTTTTTATAAGTATATTAAACAGAGGTGGAAAATTCAAATGCAAAGAGTGCCCTGGGTCATACAGAAAGGGCACTAGATGGGATTCTACAGCTTTTACTAAAGATACACGGGCTTCAAACATGGAATTTGCATCAAGAAAAGATGCATTGTTCTTATCACCCACAGATAGTGATTGTGAACTCATCTCCTTGAAGGACTGCTCTCATGTGTCCAAACAGACTTGTTACCAAAGTCAGACATGATGAGAGCCTCAAGACCCCCAGTGAGAAAGGGCAAATAAATGTCTGCAGCATGGAGGGGAAACAATATAGAAGTCTTCAGCAGTGTCACACAGAGAGAGAGAGAGAGAGAGAGACAGAGAGACAGAGAGACAGAGAGACAGAGAGACAGAGAGAGACAGAGACAGAGCAAGACAGAGCGAGAGAGAGAGCATGACTCAGGGTTGCTGCCCTACCATAAAACCTTTAGAGTAATCATAGAGCAAATATACTGTCTTTCTTATAAGTAAAAGAAAAGTTAAAAAGAGGAAAAATCTAATATTAACATTAGGAAAGATCCCAAGTCTGAGAAAAAGATTCATCAGATACTTTAATCTCACTAATATCTGTTACATAAATTATGTGAGGGGAGAAAAAAGTATAAAAAGCAAGTGCTGTGAGGAAATTTTCTTGTCTTGTTAAGAGTATAAACTCAAAAGGGCATAAAATCAAAATTCATAAGTAGGTAAAATAATGCATAGTTATTAGTGAAGGGTATTGGGCATTTTTGTGGTGCTGAGGTGTGGGAACTACAAATCAAAACCACAAGCATTAACACTATGTAAACATGTAACCAAAACTATAATAGAGAAATTTAATAAAATAAAATTTTAAAATAAAAATACTGTGTTTTAAGAGAGAGAGAGAGAGAGAGAGAGAGAGAGAGAGAGAGAGAGAGAGAGACTGCATTCTACCATAAAAAACATTCCAGACAGTTTGTTTGCTTCTAAATCTAGCACTGTGAACTGAGGGACTCAGAGGGAATATAAAACCACAGGTCCTAAATTACTGGGCTCCTTTTCACTGTCAATGCCAAAGTATGTTCTGGCTTTAGTTTCTAAAAATAGGATTGCTCTTTTTTAACTACTCAGTTTGCCCATGTCAAGTAAGAAGTGATTAGCATGAGCCTTACCTTCTAAGGAAAATTTGGTTGTGGACAAGTCTATTACAAGAAAGGAATAATTTAAAGGAATAACTTAAACCAACTTAAACCATTCCTTCCTTCAAGAATGCTTAAGCAACGTCAGTCTTGAGTCTGGGACTTTGCTTTCATTTGAATTGTTTATACTCTTGTTTTGTTTCTTTATATGTCATGTGAGTAAGAGCACCTGATACTTTTCTTCTTTGGATTTATTTTGCTGAGCATGAAACCCCCCATTTCTTTCCATATTATAAGGAAAAAATAAGATTTTGTGTTTTCTAGGGGCCAGTGCAATAGTAAAAGGGAGTTTGACTTGCATGAGGCCAACCCAGGTTCAATCTCCAGCATCCCATGTGGTCCTCCAAGCACCGCCAGGAATGGTTATGTACTTCACTGTACTACTTTACAGGTTAAAGGCTAACATCTAAGTCTTTAACCCATTTTGTTTAACTTTTGCGCACTGGGTGAGACTGGTCCAATTTCATTCTTTTGCATGTGGTTACCCTGTTTTCCCAGCATCATTTGTAGAAACTTTCTCTATTTTATGTTCTTGGCTCATTTTTCTAAATTAATTATATAAAGGAAGATTTATTTCTGTGCTCTCAATTCTATTTTGTTGTTCTGAACATCTGCTTTTATCCCAATACACACTGCTTTTTATTACTGTAGATATATAGCACAGAAAAAAGTCAAGAACCATGATGCCGCCTATCTTCTCTTTCACATTGTTTGGAATTGTTTGGGCTTTAGGGTATTTAGTGATTCCATACAAATCTTATGAATAAACATTCTGTTTTTGAAGAGGAAGTCACTGGAATTTTGATAGAGATTTGACAGGGATTGCACCGAATCTGTAAATTCTTTGAGTTGGATAGTAATTTTAATAACATGGAATATTTTTCATTTCCTTGTGCTTATAATAGTGAATTACAGTTATCAATTGATGCCTTGCATCTCCTTTTTAAAGCTGATTCCCAGGTACTTCATTCTTTTGAATATAACTATAAATAGGACTATTTTGGTTATATTCTAATCTGTTTTTGCATATATGCAACTGAATTCTTTACATTGACTTTATAGCATGTCACTTACTATTTTCTTTCCTGATAGTATTTATTGTTCCTAGTAGCATTTTAGTGGAATCGTAAAGGTTTTCTATATAAATTATTATAGTGTCTGCAAAACAGTGGTAGTTGAATTCTTCTTTTCCATGTGGAAACCTACTTCTTTTACTTGCCTTCTTGCTACAGCTAAAACTTCTAATAGAATCAATGGCTGAATAAATAGCAGTACTCCTACCTTCTAATAGCATCCCAGGTGCACTGAAAATAATATACATTATGATGGGGGGGGATGTAGGAAATGTCTATTAAGTGCAGTTTATACAACTCCTCCCTTAAGGCTGGTGTGTTCCCACTGATGTTCTGTTCATTTTTCAGAATGGGATGTTATTATACTAATAATAATTGCATACAAATCTTAGGAATAAACATTGTGCTTTATCACTATTTTTAGGCCAGTCTGTAAATTGCTTTATATATTTTGATGCCACTTCATTTGGTACATATATGTTAATGAATATCAAGCCCTTTTGATATACTTGATCCCTTAATCATAAGAAAATGTCTATCCCTATCTTTTATAACCCTTTTCAGTTTTTTTTTCTTTCAAGAATTTATTCATTGTATTTAGTACCCCATCTTTCACACTGCAGTCGTAATGTGAGGATTTTACTTTCTCTAACAAATATGTACAATCAAATCCCTTTTCTTTAGGTCATAAAACCCAACCACATAGATTAGGTGATTTATATTATATTTGTTTTTGGACAAAGACAGGAGTTGGGTCATACCATGGCAGTGCTTAGAGTTTACTCTTGGCTCTGTGTTCAGAGGACACTCCAGGTAGTACACGGAGAACTATATGTGATGCTGAGGATTGAACTAAGGTCAACCACATGTAACCCCTTTCAGTTTTAAGACTAATTTATCTAAGTACAGCCATCCTTGCCATTTTTAGGTTATTGTTTGCCTGAGTGCTTGCTTCCCAAACTTTTACTTTAAGTCTGTATTCATCATGAAAGTTCAAGCGAGTCTCCTGTAAGAAGTAAAATGTGGGGTTTTGTTTCTGGATCCATCTTACTACTCTAGTCTTCTACTGGTGAGGTCAGGCCACTGATGTTTAGAAATTTATTAATAAAAAAGAATCTGCTGCCCTTTTTCTATAAGGACTCGATATTTTTATATGTTGTCTTTCTTTGTTCTACTTTCTCCCCTGTACTTTGATGTTGCCTCTCTACAGTGATCAGGTTCCAGGTGTCCCTTCTTATGTGTTTCTTCTAAGTAATTTTGCTTGAAAGTTAGTATTTTTTAGTACTTCATGAGTACTAAGCAAGCCAGAGCAACAGTACAGGAGGTAGGGTGCTTGTCTTGCACACAGCTGACCTGGGTTCAATCACCAGCACCCCATATGGCCCCCTGAGCACCACCAGTATTTAATACCTGAGTGCAGAAACAGGAGTAATCCCTGAGTATCACTGGGTATGACCCAAGCATGACTCATTTTAAATTCAAAGCAAGTAGATGGTGACCCAAAAACAAAAACAAAAAGAACTAAGCCACAAGTCATTTTAAATTTAAAACAAGTAAATCTCAAATTAATTCCAAGAGATCTCTATATTACTCTCCTTCTTTTCCACATTTTGATTTTGAAATATTGGTTATCTTTTGCTCAAGCGGGCCCAGTAACGTCTCCATTGGAGACTTTGTTGTTACTGTGTTTGGCATACCGAATAAGTCACGGGGAGCCTGCCAGGGTTATCTTTTGTAGAATATCCGGTGCTAAACTCGAAGAGCCAGTTTAGTGGCCGTGAATTACTCTGTTGTTTATCTGAAAAGCTCTTTATCATTCTAATCAAAATGATAACCTAGTTGGACTGGATGGTGGCTTTCAACCACCAGACTGCACAAGAAAAGCTATTGCATCTTAACACAGTGGTTTTCAACTACAGTTTCTAGGGTTGGTGCCAGTTCACTGGTGTTAATGATAGAAACCACAAGAATAACATACTCTTGAAAAGAGACTTCTTCGTTCAATTTTTGAACAAAGATTCCCTTCTGGTCTGTTAAGTTTTGACTAAGAAAATCTACTGTCTTATGAGAGTTCTCTTATATGTCACTATCTGCTTTTCTCTTCATGCTTTTAGAATTCTGTCTTTTATTTTGGCCATTTTTACTACATCATGCCTTAGCGTGAAACTTAAGCTCATTTTGCTTGAAATTCTTTAATATTCCTGGATCGAGGTATCTCCTTTCTGGCAAAGGTCTCAGCTATTACCTCTTCAAATAAGAATTCCACACTTTTTTCTCTTCTCCTTCTATAATCCTACAATATGAATGCTGATTCCCCCTAAGTCTGTTCCCTAAATATTTCTCCCAGCTTCCCTCCAGGATCACACTCTTGTGAGGCTTGTGCTCTACTGCTAAAACACATGAGCCCCATAAATACCTTAGATTATTACCTTCATGTTTTTAGAATTCTTTGCTTCTGTTCTTTTTTTGAAATGACTTCCTCCACCTTGTTCTTGAGTTCATTAACTCAACCTTTGAATCCTGCCATTTTGCTGTGGAGCCCCTCCACTGCAATCTAGGGTTCCCTGGTTTCTGTGTCTGTTCCATACTTCGTTGAGGTTCTCTTCCACTGATTTCCTCACTGAAATGAGGATCATTAGGACTGCTCCTTTGAAGTCTTCATCTAAGATTTTAGAAGACTTGAATGTACTTGAAGTTCTTCCCAGGCTTTTGCCCACATCTGACCCTGCTAGTGAATCCCTCCAACTTCTTCACGATGCCGGGTATTATGCTAAAGCCGGAGGCAAGGGTCACGTCCAAGCAGGTCCAGGCAGGGACCAGGGATTCAGTTAAAAACTCCAGCCACTTACTGTGGGTGTGATTTTGTGTGAAAGGGTCAAATGATCACCAGAAACTGGTGGGCACAACAGTACCAAGGCTGAGTAAGCCTGAACAGTGATCTACAGTTCATAGTACCCAGCAGTGGATGTGGCATGAAAGTCTAGTGAAACTGGACAGCACGTGTGAGAGCCCAAAAGCAGCTTCAATACTAAACAGACCTGCATGGTTAGCAGGGACTTATATCTGCAAGCACCTAGCAGCAACTGTAATGCTAAGGTCTTGTGGATTGGGGTAACACATTGTGGTGTGCGGTAGGAAGAGTTTTGTGGGGCCTATAGCACCAAGTTTGAGTGGTGTGGACTGCATCCAAATGGTCATAATCACAGTGACCTGAACAGAAACCAGAAGTTCTAACTTGCAAGTGCCATGGGCACTTACATGGCAAGTTCAAACAAGCATTGGTGTGATATGGTGTTCAGAATTTCCAGGGTCCAGGGATACCTGTGCACCAACTTTGAGCAGGAATGAATGGCAACCAGGAAAGTGCATCACAAGTGACTACTGGTTGCTTGGTGCCACTTTCTCACAGGCTAGGGTGGCCTGGGGCACAGGATGGGAATGCTGGGGACTGGGGAGTCAGGGTGGGGCAGCTATGCACCAGATTTGAGCAGACCCAGGTCAAATCCCAGGTCAAATCCCAGGTCAAATCCCTGGGTCAAAACCCAGGTCTTTAAATAGATTGATTTAAAGGTATAACAGAAGGAGGCTGTAAAGACCAAAAATATGTTAGTGAAAAATGAGTTACTATAAAATTGTATTAAGTTTTTTAGTAAGAGGAAAGAAAGAAAAGCCTCAGTAAGTTATTTATATCTACTAAGAAAAAATAACTGCATTAGAATGTGCAATGGTGATGTTAATTGAATGACTTACATAATGATTTTCCTGGGTACAACTTGGCTTGGGGATAACCAGGTATCATTTTTTCCTCTCTGGCTCTAAGATTTTCAAGTTCATATTTGATAATGAATTGACATTCTGCCATTGTGAGGAAATCATCATTGTCATCTAAAATCAAACAAAATGCCAGGTTATTTTCTCAGTAATGGTCAAAATTAAGTAATAATACTTAATCTGGGATAAAAAATAATGATATAAACAATAAATAACCAATATATAAGAAGTAACTGAAGTACAAAGCTGGTAAATTAGAACAGAAAGCTGCACGAATATTTTAAAATAAAAATTGTTATTCTTTCATATAATTCTCTAATTACTGTAATAGCTATATGACATGCTATAAGCATCCAAACAAATATACCCTCTGGAACTTATTTTGTACCAAAGAACATATGTAAAATATTTCTAAATTCTAAGAATACTTGTAAGTAGGAATGGAATTAAAATTTGCAGATATGACCAATATCTCTTTCAAACTCTTAAGTCCAGGCTATCTGTTCTGGAATGGAACCTCTTACCCATAAATGAGGAATAAGATATTGAGAACAAAACAGTATTTATGTGAGATAAATTTTATATTGCTTGTTTATTCACTAAGATTAAAAAAAAAAGTCTAGAGTGAGTAAATCTGATAAAGTCTAATCATATCTTCTAATTCTAAAAGCCCCAAAGGAACCAGTTATATTCTCTTTTATGTTATTTTTATTTTTATGATTTGGGCAGTGCTGAGAATCAAAACCCAGAATCACATATATGCAATGCAAGTGCCCAACAGCTGAGTCACATTCCCAGCCCACTTGTTTATTTCTCAAGCCAGATATTGCACCCTGATATTAGAATCACTCTGACCTTATTGGCTCTTGCCAGAAACTATTTAATTCGGAAATCCCCTTGTGTCCAGAAGAGAACAAGAGAAAAGTTCTACCACCAAAAGGATTTTCTAGTACACTGAACTATTACTGTGTTTCTTACTACAAGATTTTTCTCCACCAAGTCTGTGAATAGCCACCATCCTGGGAATTAGAATATTAGAATTAGGTTGCACACATCATTCTCATTAATGTTCTTCTATTCCAAAAGTGGCACATAAATGCCTGTGGACCAAATATGATGGATACCACTTAGTTTTAAAAATCAAATTTTATTGACACATCACCTGACCATTCCTTTTTGTCTAAGGTTGCTTCAGTTCTACAATGGAAGTATTGAATAACTATAACAAAGATAACACAATCCAGAAAGCCTAAAATATTTATTATCTGAACATTTAGTCAAATATCTGCTGATCCCAGAACTCACTATCAAAAACTTATTTATGATAAATTGATCCAGATACAATCAAGGAATCTTGGGACTTACCATCAAAACCTTTGAAGTTATGTCGAGTTTCATAGGTGAAGGCTCTCATGGAACTGTCATTGCATTCTTTTACTAATCCCAGTGCTTCTGCTCCCAGTAACAATCTTATCTTGGAGGCGCCAACAAGATACAAATTCTGATGTTCAAGTGTTTCTTTCTCATACTTATTTAACAAGGGTCTAAATAAGAGTTGGGCACCTTCAAAAAGGAAAAAGTAAACATAATCTCAGAGAGAGACAAAAATGTCAAAGATGAAAATCTGCTAAAGTAAATATTTCGATACTGGTTTTGAAGGAAAATTAACTACATTAATAATTTAAAGCTAGCTTCCAAATAAATAAGAAATTTTTGCTGATCATTGAACAGTGCTGCGGTTAAACTACCCTTCTCCTGCAAAATCAACGATCCAGAGAGCGTGGGCCAGAGGTAGCACTGGGGTTACTGGGGTTAAGGAGCTTGCTTTGCATGCAGCTGACCCTGGTTTGATCCCCGGCTTACAAGTTACTCTAATTAGAAGTAATCACAGAACAAGAATTCAATAGGTATTAGCTCTCAGGTATAAAATCCACACTGAGTAAAATTATGGTGGAGGCCAGGGACATTGTGGATTACATTCCTCGTCTGGCTGTGACCCTGAGTTTGACCCCTGGCACTCCTCAAAACATGGAGCAAAGTGATATAATTTCTAAATATGAAAGTAACATCAAAATTTAAGAACACTGGTGCTAGGGAGATGATTCTACAGGCTGGAGCACACACCTTGAATAGGCGAGACACTGAATCCGATCCCTGACACCATATGGTCACGGTATCCTGGTGGACCTGGGTCACCAGAGGGGTGGTCACTGGGCCCAAGCACCTAATCACCTATCACTGGGAGAGGGCACCAGACCAGGCTCCTGAGCATTACTGGGGAGTATCCAACAAACATTTTTAGAAAATTAAAATTTAATCTAAAATTTTTAAATTTAAGATTTAAAATAAGTTAAAATAAAGTAGCACAGCGTGTAAGGCGTTCGCCTTACAAGCGGCCAACATGGCCGACCCGAGTTCGATTCCTCCGCCCCTCTCGGAGAGCCCGGCAAGCTACCGAGAGTATTCGATATGCCAGACACAGTAACAACAAAGTCTCCAATGGAGATGTTACTGGGCCCGCTCGAGCAAATCGACGATCAAAATAAAGTATCCCAGGGTTTTTTTTTTTCTTTTGGCTTTTTGGGTCACACCTGGCAATGCACAGGGGTCACTCCTGGCTCTGCACTCAGGAATTCCCCTGGTGGTGCTCAGGGTACCATATGGGATGCTGCAAGGTTGGCCACATGCAAGGCAAATGCCCTACCCACTGTGCTATCTGTCCAGTCCCAATATTTTAGTTTTCAAAAGTCACAAATGTAACACAATTACACTGGACTATAACGAAATTTGTTTTGTTTTGTTTTCTGTTTGTTCTGGGGCCACAACTGGCAATGCTCAGGGGTCACTCCTCACTCTGCACTCAGGAATCACTTCTGGTGGTGCTCAGGGGGACCATATGGGGTGCCAGGGATCAAACCCAGGTCAGCCCTGTGCAAGACAATCTCTTTACCCACTAAACTATCTCTTCAGCCGCTATAACAAAATTTTTGAATGTTAAATACTAAATAATAAAAAGCAATATAATTTTCAATGATTTTTCCCAAGAAATGTGTACATTCAATCACATTTAATGCCATCATTCTTAAACAGTATCCCCGAATATGAAAAGCACATGATGTGATTTGATGCATTACAAATATCCTTTAAAAGATCAATTGGGGGGAGTAATTTTTTTTTCCATTTCAAAATTTCCTATTTAGGCCTCTTTCCTACTTTACATTTCTATAAACGTTTCCCTCATGAAATCACTGTGCATGCATCAAATCCTATTCTGGCATCTCTTGCTTGGAAAAACCCAAACTAACACAGTGAGTGTTTGGTAAAACATTTTTTGCAAACATTTTTAGGGGAGTATAAATTAATGTAACTTTATGGAAAGCCATCTGTCAATACTTGTTTGGAAAAACAGCAGGCTCCCATATCTCTCTAACCCCAATTTACCTTTCCTGAGGCAACAACTAGCAAATAGTTCAGGATAATAAATACCTTTGTTATTTGTTTTCATGTAATCCAACATCCTTGAAAGCCATCTCCTTCCTTTCACTTCCTCCCTTCCTAATACTGATTTATAGCCAGTGTCTGAGAACAAGGTTCACATGTCAGTTACCAGCCCACACCCACCATCCAAGAATCCTCCACCAAAGATCACTGGACACCCTCTGTCCTTTGCAGTCACCACTTTCTAGGAACTTCAGTTCTCAGCAGCGCATTATTCATTTTTAAGTTTGATGCCTTTGGAAGAGATGAATGCCTTTTTCTTTTCCTCAAAATTCATGTTTTCTAGCCACCACTCCCATCACCTGATTTAACAATATAGCTGCATCACCTTCTTTGTTTCACCAGCTGTATTTTCTTTATGACGATCTGTTATTGATAGCTTAGCCTCAACGGTGCTGATTTATTTTTCTTACAATTTTCCTTTTACCCAAAAATTGATTTCTTTTTTTTTGCATGGTTTGTTATATAGCTATTGATAATTCAACCCCCCCAAACTCTCCATCCACAGTCTCCCTCCCCTCCCCGTACACTGAAGTACTCTTATCTGTATCATCTTCATAAGAGACCTCCTCTTCATTCTGTCCTCATGCCTAGTCAGAAGATAGATAGGTTTCCTCTCAGAAATAAAGATGCTATACTACCTCCTTCTGAATTCCAGTATTCCCATTAAGAAAATTGTTACTAGGCCAAATAGAGTATGCAAGAAAGGAGTTTGCCTTACACACTGCAAACTCTGCTTCAATCCCTGGCAATACAGATGGTCCCCTGAGTACCTGCAGGGTCATGCACCACCAGGGTCACTTCCGAGAGCCAGAAATAGTACCTGAGCACCGCCAAGGGTAGGCCAATTCTTCCCTGACCCATGCAATGAAGTCCTGATTTTTCTCTATTTGACCTATATTCTTTTTTTTTTCTGGAAGTGTGTTTTCTTCACCACAAATTCTGATAACTTCCAGTGAGATGCCATTCTCATCCACAGTGCTGGGACCCTTTCAGTCTGAAAAATCATCACACCACCTTCCGATTTGATTGGATAATTTCTTCTTTTCCATCTTCTCCATTCCCTTTCTAGAATTTCTTTTAAAACCAGAGTAACTACTTGCAGAAGTCTAAAGTATTTTATTGGAGGAGAGTTCCCATTAACATTCCAGTGATGCAAGAACAAGTGCAGTGTCTGAGGAAGAGCAACTACAGTGTATCCCAGTTTTGTCTTTCACCCATTGCTTGGTTTTTCCAGGGAGACATGAGGATGGGAAGGGGAGGCAGCGTCCTACACTGCTGGAACAACCATAACAGGAATCTCAAAAAAGGTACTCTGAATCTTTTGTAAGGGAGTAAGAGGAATATTCGTGTTTATCTTTACTCTTTACCTCAACTCTTCCAGACTCCAGTTACAGTGACAGCATTTTGTTGTTCTTGTTGCTGTTTTTAAAGACATAAATCCACACTGACAAAAGTATCACTCTTTTGGGAGTCAAAAACTGATAAACAGTAATTAACTTCTCAGACTTGGCAGGGGAGAACACTGAGATGCAATTTGGTTTGCACTTTAGAATACTCCCAAAGATTCAGGAATTAGTGGCAGTAATCAGTGCCAAGGGAGGTGGGAATAAAGTGGGTACCTAGAGAAAAGAAGAGTAAGATCTATTTAAGAAACAGAGCCCTGGGTCCCTTTCATATTCCTACAGAAGACTCTTCTTATTTGTCTCTGGAGAGGGTAAGACACAGGAATTTTGTCATGGATGCAGTTAATGACAGATTCTGCCTGAAAGTAAGCTACTGGCTGAGTAGAGGTACCTATGCCCTCTCCCCCACCAACCACATACCTAATTCAATGTATAAAACTGAATTGAAATAATCTCAGAAAGGGCTTAAGTAATCTTTATTGGGAAGGGGTGTGTGTTGGGGGAGGTGGGGATAGGGGAAATCTGACTAATCCAAGACAAACCTATGAAGGAGCAGAAATTCAGTTGCCCAGAGAAAAGGATCTAGCTAGACTAACTTTTATTAGAGTCATTTCTAAGGAGCTCTACCTAAACTTCCAAACTCCCACTTTTTTTTTTTTATCCTTTTACAAACCCTTTCTTCATGGAGCCAGAGAAATAATCCAGGGGTTAAGTTAAAGCTCTTGCCTTGCCTGTGGCTGACCCCAGTTCAATCCTAGCATCTGCCATATATATATGGCTCCCCAGGAATCACCAGGAGAGATCCCTTGGCACAGTGCCAGGAGTAAGCCCCAAGAACTGATGGGAGCAGCCTGAAAACCAAAACCCAAAACACACCAAAAAAGAACCTCGTTATGCAACAGGAGTTTACAAGAAAATATCACTAATGCTTTCTGTGCCTGTAAAACTGGGGAGATCCTGGGCTGGCTTGATTCTCTTCTGAAATCCCTCAATAAAATGCTTTGATGTCAATGTCCCCACGGCCCCCCAAAATGGTTAAGTATCCAAAAAAAAAAAAAACCTCACATAAAGAAAAAAATAGTTACAAGCTATACATTATGCAGAAGAAAACTAAAAGTAAAAATACAAAAGCTGTGAAAAGTTAGATCTATATCAATCAAGGCTAAGATAGTAGAAAATAATCAGAAAGAAAAGCAGTTCTTATCAAGTGAAAATATGAGAGCAAAATTTAAAAATGCAATGAAAGGATTAGAAGATAATTATAATTCTCTAGAAAGTGGAGCAGAAAGGCAAAACATTCCTTCAGATTTAATATTTGAAAAAAAATTTAATTAAAAACTAAAATTTTTTTAAGTATCATTTTTAAGAAAGCAGTTTAGGGGTCCAGAGAGATAGTACAACGGGTAAGGCACTTGTCTTGAACACAGCAGACTCAGCTTTGATCCCCGGCATCTCAAATGAGCCCACCGGAAAGGATTCCTAAGTGCAGAACCAGAAATAAGTCCTGAGAACTGCTGGGGAAGAAGGAAGAAGAAAGAAGAGAAAAGGAGGAAGGAAGAAGGAGGAGGAGAAGGAGGAGGAAGGAAGAGAGGAGGAGGAGGAGGAAGGAAGAGAGGAGGAGGAGGAGGAGGAGGAGGAGGAGGAGGAGGAGGAGGAGGAAAGAAAGCACTTTAGCTTATGCTTACAATAAATACCTTTTAAAAAAAAAAGAATTTAGGGTCAGAGAGCGATAGTACAGAAGTTAAGGCACTTGCCTTGCAAACAACTACAGCTGGGACAATGGCTCAAATTCTGGCACCACTCATTGTCCCCCGACCACCACCAGGTATGGCCCCTGAGCACAGAGCCAGGTGTGGTCGAAAATAAACAAATAAATAAAGCAAAATGAAAAAGAATCTAAATTGGGTTCTTAAAACAGAATCTACATGCTTACGGATTTAGTAAAGTTTCAGGTGTTGCTTTGTGTCATTTCATGAAATGTTAACTCCCTATAAAAGGCTCTCACAGGTCTAGACCCCATTTGGCTCTTCGGAAGAAAGCCAGCTTCAGCTTGTTCTATAAAATCATTCCTCACCACCGAAGTGTCATCACCTCCCTCCCTTTACTTTTATAACAAGTCAATGAATGATTCATTTTATTTTGTTTTTTTCCTTTATGGGTCACACCTGGCGATGCACAGGGGTTACTCCTGGCTCTGGAATTAGCCCTGGCGGTTCTCAGGGGACCATATGGGATGCTGGGAATCGAACCTAGGTCAGGCCAAGGCAAACCTAGGTCAGGCTGCAAGGCAAACGCCTTACCAGCTGTGCTATTGCTGCAGCCCCAAATGATTCATTTTAAAGTATCATGCTCAGTCAACTTTGGGACCGCTCTTCATTAGCTTTCATTTCTGTAACTTCAATTTCTAAGAACTGGTACGGTCTCCTTAACCCTGCTACCTATAAAGGTTAATATCCATGTAGGTAGAAACTGAACTTATCTCTCCCTTAGCACCCTAAGTGCTGTACAAAGAGCACCCTCAGACATAGTTCACTGACTTGACAGGTTTTTCTTAAGCAACAACTATCCACAAGTTACTGTACTAGGCAGAATTTATAGGTGTGAACAAAATCACTCAGGTTGCAGACAGAGACCTACAGTCTAATGTTGACTTAAGACCTTCTTTCAAGTCCTAGATAAATTAATAAAGATCAAAAAATCTGCGCCTTTGCTTTTGAAATACAGCAATGAAAAATCTATAAAGCATCTCTGAAAACAAACATTTAGTCACTAACCATGACTAATCCTGAGTAACACTGATTTCACTCACCTCCGTCTTTCTTTTTAGCAATAATTCTGTTCTTCAGCCATTCTTTGGTTTCTTCTTTGACATCCTGAGCAAGTTCTATGACTGCCAAAGGGGTGAAAGAACTTTGAGAAGTATCCAACGCTGACAAGGTCACTTTCATCTTTGACAAACTTGCTGATAATTAAAAAGTAAGCATGGGTTATTATAGAAAAGAGAAATATATAGACTATTTTTATTTTTTTGCACTTTTCTCTATCACACCCAGCTCTTGCTTCTAAGTGAGAAGAAAAGTCCTCTTGACCCAGAGGGGTCCTATGCCAGCCTCAACTAATAGTTGAAAAAGCACATGTGCAAGCCAGACCCCTCAGGAAGACCCATGAAACACTGCCTTTTGCCAGAAGCAGCTCGGAATTCAGGACATGGAGACATGTACACTCACACAAAATGGAATAAAAAGGCATTTACAAATGATGTAAAATCTGAAAAGGATTTAGAAGAATAAATAGGACTTTATTAGATTGACAATGTGTGACATTCAAAATAGAATAAATAGTATTCCCTTACAAAATAATGATGGGGGGGGGGCTGGAGCGATAGCACAGCTGGTAGGGCGTTTGCCTTGCACGCAGCTGACCCAGGTTCGATTCCCAGCATCCCATATGGTCCCCTGAGCACTGCCAGGAGTAATTCCTGAGTCCACAGCCAGGTATAACCCCTGAGCAACGCCAGGTGTGACCCAAAAAAGCAAAGAAAAAAAATGCTGATGGGAACTGGTCGACAGTCTCAGAAATACAAGAACTAGGTCTGGCTACAGCATTATCTAAGTAGGAAGGATATGAATAAGCTAGAATCAAACCCAGACCCCTGGAGGCAAGGAAACCAGGTTTTATCCAAGGAACAATGGGAATCAACAAATCATTATGGGCAGGGAATTGACAAAGACCTATTTCATGTCACAGTATGGAACTACTGTCCCCAGTATCAGCTCCTCTCCTGATGTCCCCAAACTTCTCAGTGATAACTGATTTGTTACCAAGATTGAAAAATAACTGAACATATGTTGCTAAGGCCTAACTAACTGCCTCCCTCTGAGATGTTTCTCATTGGTGGAGTGACAGTACAAGGGTAAGGAGTTGCCATGCATGAAGCTTACTCGGCTAGATCCCCAGCACCTTCTACGGTTCCTTGACCACCACTGGGAATGATCCCTGAGCACAGAACCAGGATTAAGCTCTGAGAACCACTGAGTAAGTATGAGTGTGGCTCAAAAAACCCACCCATCTCCCTAAATAAATGTTTTTCATGTGAAAATGTTGAATCCATTGATTTTCAATTAGAGTAGTTTCCAGACTTTAGATTTAACTTTGAACTTTATGTAAGTTTTAATGATTCCAAAGTACAAGTGCAAATTAAGTCTTGAGAAAATTCACAAAAGGTGTAACTAACACCACAGGACACCTTTCCTTCCTCTGGGGGAAATCATGCCAGGAATGATTTCTGGGCACAGAGCCAGAAATAATCTCCGAACACTGCAAGTGTGTCCCACTGTGCCCCCCCCCCCAAAAAAAAAAACAAAATTAAAATCAGTCTTAGGCTCATTCTCTACACTGAAAACTGGCTCACATCTCAACCTTCAACCTTGGATTTTCACCCTTCTGGAGAAACCCATGGTCTCTCCTATCCCTTTCTCCCTCCCTCCCCCGTTAATTTGTTAATTACTTAATTTCTTTAAGTAATTAAAATATAACATTATTTTACCTCACTAAAACAAAGGAAAAATAATACAGGAGCCAGAGCAGGTAGGGCATTTGCCTTGTATGAAGCATCCCATATGGTCCCCCAAGTCCATCAGGAATGGTCCCTGAGCATAGAGCCATGAGTAAGCCCTGAGTATGGCCGGGTGTGACCCATAAACAAAATAAACAAATAAACAAACAAAAAAATCAAACTGATCAATCAGATCCAAGTTGTCTGGTTTGGACAGATCAGATTTTGCTTTTCTCTCAGAGTTTAAGTTTTGTTTTGGACAATGTGTGTATTATAAATCAATACTGAATAAAAATTATACTACAAATACATCAGGAAGGCTATTAACACCAACCAAATCAAAAGATAGTATGCCAGTCTCTACAAAGGAAACAAACACAAAACAAAGAGCTAATAATGTGGCCAGGAATTATATAGAGTGACAGAACAAAAGCACATAGCCATTAGAGCTCTGGGAACTCACAATGTGTAAAAGTTTAAGATCAAGCATATTCTACACAGGGAACTAACATGTGTAAAATCAATGAAGCAAGAACAAAGACACACAGGAGAACAGGACTAGCCTGACCAGAGTGGAGGGACATCTTCTTAAAAGCTGCAACTGTAGCACTACAGCACTGTCCTCCTGTTGTTCATCGATTTGCTCGAATGGGCACCAGTAACATCTCCATTGTGAGACTTGCTGTTACTATTTTTGGCATATTGAATACGTCACAGGGAGCTTGTCAGGCTCTGCCATGTGTGCAGAGTATGCCGTGCGGGATACTCTCGGTAGCTTGCCAGGCTCTCCGAGAGGGATGGAGGAATCGAACCCGGGTTGGCCACGAGCAAGGCAAACGCCCTACCCTCTGTGCTATCACTCCAGCCCTGCAACTAATTAAAGATAGAAAATTCTACGCTTATGTCAGACCTGAGAGCTAGTCAGGAGACATATGTAGCTTTCTGAGCAGAGAGAGGATCAGCTTTGTGGCCAAGTGATATGCACCTCAATAAGGAAATGTAATAGGCCAGAATAAGTTGTGGGGGGAGGCTTGTAGAGAGGGGGTGTTCAAGATATTCTTTCAACTCCCCTGAACTTTCTTAACTGTTTATAAAGAAAAATTTGGAAACAAGCCAGTCTACCTATATATTCCAGAAACTTAGCAGCAGTATCTTTAAAAAGGAAACTGCAAATACACAATTCCCTGAAATAGCAAATACACAACTCCCCGAAACTTTTCATAATGGAAAACTGGGGAACATGTTGATTTACCAATGGACTAGACTACAGAGGCTTAGCAGCAGCTTATTTTAAAAAGGAATGAGCAAACAATCAACATTTATTATGGTCCAAGCCATGACAGAACGCAAAAATACAAAAGTACAGAGGGCTTACATCTTACTCTTGAAGAGCCAGGTGCAAAACAGCAGAAGCAAAAGTGTGCACTGAATAAAAGGGTAGGTATAACACAAAGGCCCTAAGATAGCGGCAGCCTGAAGGGGGGAACTACCTGCCAGCAAAGGGGAGTCACAAATAAGACTGCCTTTGATTTAAAAAAAAAAAAAACTAAATGAATCCAAGCTTTCTAACACTGAGAAGTAGCTAAGATGTGTGCCCTTCCTTCCTGAGAAATGCTTGCAGAGCTATAAATTTTCCCCTTAACACGGCTTTCACTGCATCTCCTAGGTTCTGGTAGCTCGTGTCTTCATTCTCATTTGTTTCCAGATATCTTTTGATTTCGTCCTTGCCTTCCTTCCTGACCCACTCGTTGTTCAACACTGAGTTGTTTAATTTTCAGATGTTTTATTTGGTTCTCCGTGCCGGTGTGTGATTCACTTCTATTCTCAGTGCATCGTGGTCTGAAAAGATTGTTGACACTATTTCGATCTTCCTGATTCTATTGAGGTATGTTTTGTGTCCCAGCGCATGGTCTATTAAAAATATGGAACGCTTCACAAATTTGCGTGTCATCCTGGCGCAGGGTCCATGCTAATCTCTGTATCGTTCCAATTTTAGCACATGTGCTGCCGAAGCGAGCACGAGAAGTAGTTAAGATGGAGACAATGTCCAGCAGGGCATATTTAGACATACATCAAAGATCAAAGCTTCTCAGCACTTACAAATCACCTGATGTGAGTAATAAAGAGATCACCCATTCATGAATACCAGGGCATAGAGCAATCTCTCAGAGATGCTAGTACCATTTTCAATCAAAACATGTATATGTAAAGAACATCTAGAAATTCACAGTAAGGATTTGCTCACTGGTTATTCTCACGTGGGCATAGTATGTGCTTTTCATTACTACATAAGACACAGCTTTAAAAGGTTCCTCTTACCTAAGAAAGTGTTGCTGCCTTTGACATACAAGAGTTCTTAGAAATCTTCAGGGGAGAAAACAAAAAGCTGAAATTACAAGTCACAAAAATACAAGTAACCAAAGCACATTTGAAACAATACTCAAAGCTATTAATAAAATAAATGTGTAACAAGATACTTTACTCTTTTCAGATTTATAAAAGTTGAAAGAATCCATTGTGACAGATACAGAATGAGGTCCCTCATATGTGGTTTATAAAGAAACATAGTAAGGAAACAATGCCCGAAAGCAACAGAAACTGAGAATTGGTCTTTAGCAGGAAGCATATCACTGTACGGGGGTTGAGAGGACAGGACTGGAGCAGAAGGTTGTAAGGGGACACTGGGACAAAGGTGGAGGGTAGCTGATACTTGGTGGAGGGTGAGGTGTTGGACTGTTTTATGAATGAAATCCTGCAATTGTCAATATTGTAAATCACAGTGCCTAGAATGAAATTAGGGGAGGGGAAAATCCATTCTGACATAAGTAGCACTGTAGCACTGTCCTCCCCTTGTTCATCAATTTGCTTGAGCAGGCACCAGTAACGTCTCCATTGTGAGACTTGTTACTATTTTTGGCATATCAAATACGCCATGGGAGCTTGCCAGGCTCTGCCATACGGGTGGGATACTCTCGGTAGCTTGCCAGGCTCCCAGAGAGGGGCGGAGGAATCAAATCCAGGTTGGCCACATACAAGGCAAGCGCCCTGCCCGCTGTGCTATCACTCCAGCATAGGTGTAAGTACAAAACAAAACAAAAGGACTTCACGGTTCCAGTTGGGATCAATCTAAAATCATAAGGAATAATCCAATACACACAAAATTCCAAGACAGCAAAAGGTAGAGTTACTTCCGTGCCACTGTCAATGTCCCTCCTTTCACCCAGATTGGCAAATGACTACATGGCCCAGAGCAGCCAGTTTCTACAAAAGCCCTGGCACAGATCTGTGAATAGCCATCCCAAGCCCTGTTCTTCCTCATTATATTGTTGAACTAAAAAGGGATAAAGAGGAACTAGAAAAGGTGTGGCTATTACATTAGCTATGAAATCACCTACCCCCAGAGGCCA